GACTGGAATTATGGAGAAAAGTTACATGTATGAAGAAACGAACGCCAAGACGTTAGCGAACTATTGTGTAACATTGCATCGCACCGGTCGGTGAAATGTCCTACATGTAGTTGACGAGGGCATAGCCCAAGTCAACTATCACACATAGAAATCAAGAATGAATAATCTAATTGTTTTAGTATAAATATACCAGTCATTCAAAACTTTATCCAAATCCTTTTCATAGACACTTGGAAAATGCAAAGAAGCGGCGCTGTTGTTTCGGTAAAAACCGCACACTGCAACGCTACTTTATACTATCTATCAAGAACAGAAAGTGAGCAGTTTAGCCAATCAGAGAATGACACTCGTGATAGAATGCTAGTAGATTTATACTAAAGCGTGATAGAAACATGGTACATGTTTTCTGTTTCTTAAATAAAGATCAGCATTGCTTCAGAACACACTAGGTATTAATCAACTAAGCAGTCAGTAGCTTTTTTATTAATTGCATGGCCTGGGGTTGAAATTATGTGGCACATGTTTTACATGTGGTTTGTTTATTTATGTTTTATATTTTGTCAGTGGGTAGACTCGTGCTTCCATGCAGCTAGCTCTTTGGCCAGACTTTGATTCACGGAATTTACTTTTGATGTTCACTCACTAAGAGCTATCAAATCCTTGACCTATTGCAAATTTTACCAATTTCGTGCTATTATATTTTCACGTAACATGCATTTCCTTTGGTGTTATTCAAGAGCTTGGCTTTAACGTAGTACTTGATATTCTTCACCTTTCAGTTTGCAAAAACAGAAACTCATCTAGACTAGACTTGCAAAATCATTATGTCATTCATGAATGAGTGATTTGTTCACCTTGCAATGACAATAGCGACTCCTTTGGGATGTTCCCTCAGGACCTATGCTAGATTAGTTATGAGTATTTTTTAGATTTTATTTTGTAAGCAAAATACAATGCTTTATTCTTTCTCCAGCTTTAAATACTGTAAGAGCTGCCCAAGACAATACAGAGACACATTATAAATAAGCACTTCAAGAGAAGGCAGTTGACCTTTTGCTCGTACATGATGTTGGCTTTGTTTCTAATTAAGGCTTCAGTTGAATTTCACATGATTGTCAGCCTGCAGTGGTAATGAAAAGGTATAAAAAACTTATAAAACTTTGACATTTTTCCAAATTTACATTTTTTAAATAAATTTTTATTAATAAATCTTATATATTTTAAGAGTGCCTGACACGTAGAGACTAGTAGACAGCAATTTTCAATTGGCCAGTTGCCGGTACTTACAGAGACCACTGTATTTTTGTTCCTACTGAACTTGATTATTAGACCCAACCTAAAAAACAGACTTCACCAGTGTTGCAAACTGAATTTTGACAGTACTCGCCATATGGGTGAGTGACTCTCAAAATGTACTGGCCTGTTGTAATTTTCACTCACCCAGAAAGATATCTTCCCCCTATCCCCTAATTTCTGCAACTGTTTTTTTCCTGATGTAGAATTTGAGTATTTGTTTTGTCATTTTGTCCTCCTGTTTCTTGTTAACTTTTGACACTCCTTAGAAATATTTCCACATTTCTGTAGTTGTACCAGAAAAACGGCTGAACGAACAGCTACGTGTAGCACAACCAAATTCGCATCACTAGAATCGAGACATACTGTAGGAGTAAACAACTTGCTGGGACGTGGAAGACTGATGTTTTTCCCCTTCAATAAAAAAACAAATTACTGTATTTTCCTGGTTATAAGGCACAGCTTTTTTCAAAGAAAATTTACTTGTTCACTTGAAATCTGCTTCATACTTGGGATGCATCTTATAATCAAGTATGTTGGCACCACAAAATACAATTTTGCCAAATTTTAAGACCTTTAACATGGATAACAACAATGGAGGCACTTTCTTTGATTTTCAAAACAGCTTTTATTGATGAATCTTCATGAGATTCATTTCTTAGCAAGCAAAAATCCTTGTTCCTCTCCTGTTTCTCTCAATTATGCATCAATCAGGGCCAGTTCAACGAGAGACCAGCAGTGTCACTTCATACATGTGTAAGTGTTAATGTAAATTGTCATTGTGAGGAAGCCTTATTCCATTTTGTCTAATTCTGAAACGCTACATTTTGTTGCATTGGCAAATTAGTCGGGCATCTCGAAAGATAAGAAAAGGTAAAAAAAAGTAGTGGTAAGTTTTCATTAAGTGACTCTCTTGCCAAAGTGGGAAATTAAAAGGAGTGTCATTAATGTTTAAGCTGGTGTAATTTCTCAACAATGAAAATCATACATGCCAAACGGCCGAGTGATCAATGATTTGTACTTGCCAAACATTTTCCACACTTGCATTACTGAGCAGGCAATACTGCTTTAAATACAGTAGCATTTATGCCTGCGATGCAAGCAGAGAACATGCTGCACACCTACAGTGTAAATGCAATGGAATGAGATTGCAGTGTCATACACACAGCATACTGAATACTTTAGTTATTGTTATTCAGAGTCAAAAACCCTTACATGTGCCAACATGTAATCTGATGGTGATTTCCACTAGTTCTGTGGCTCAATCTTCATTTTTACTCTCAGCTGTTGTGTTACTGATACATGTTCATTGTTTGGCTTAGACTGATACTTCCTCGGGATGTTGAGTGCATAATTTATAACTTCTATTTAACAATTAGTTTATGAGCTCGAGATTTCTATTTAAACAATAGAGTGTTTCTCTCGAGGAACTATTGGCTGATAGTTGCGCCGCAGAAATTTGATGTTCTCGAGACAAATATTTACCTCCCAAATACCAACCCCTAATATCCTCGCTCGTGGGGAGGTAGGCAACAGCGGAGTAGGGGACTGCCTGTCAGGGTGAAGTACAGTGGGACTTAGGTAGCGGGGCCACTACGGTAACTGTGAAGGCCTGGCAGGAACCCTGAACAAACTGGCTAATAAGGGCTCTGGCAAGTCTGCAGAGGGCTAGTCACCCCCTCAGACTAATGAGCAACTACATGTACAGAAACCAACACAGGAAATTTACAGAGATAGACGACTGGTCGCCAGAAAAAAGAGGACCACTCCTCGGATGGTAGTATGACGTTCTGTGAGCCAACACCCCCCTCTTTTATGGGTCCTAAAAGACAAGGTGGAAGGCTTAGAACAACTTGGAGGAGGTCAACGGAAAAAGAACTGGAGACCATACACTTGACCTGGGGTGAAATCTGGAAGGCAGCACAAGATCGTTCATGCTGGAGAGAGACTGTGAAGGCCTTATGTGTCCGATGGCACGATGACAACTGATGATGAAAACAAATATGCTAGTTTTAAGAACATCAAATTTCCAAGGGGCAACTATCAGACCAATAGTTCCAAGACATACATGTACTGTCTTTATTGTTCACCACTAAACTTTCTTCCGTGCACCAGTTCAAAAATCATGTTGAATTGTTTTCAACTTTTTTAGGTGAAAGCTGTGAAAGCCAAATGTAAAATTTGAAAAAGAAAACAAACAGAAACCCTCTTAATACAAATTCAGTTGTTTATTTTCTATAAGCCCACTTGTTTACAGAAATATTTTTGTGGACAAGTACTATCCATCCGGGTATTTTCCTCGGACGGGCACTATGGGTTGATAGTGTCTCTCCACAGATGAGCACTATCGTGTCATGTGATCAATTTAAACCAATAAGAATCGGAGAAAATTTAGTGGTGAACTATAAGAGGTAATAGTGCTGTGTGCATGACACTGCAATCTCATTCTATTGCTTTTACACTGTAGGTCTGCAAAGCGATGTAGGCCTGCAGCATGCTCTCTGTTTGCATTGCAGGCATAAACCCTACTGTATTTAAAGTAGTGTTACCTACTTGCTAATGCGAGTGTGGAAAAGGCCTGGAGTACAAACTGTAATAATGAGGCTGAAGGCCGAATCAACTATCGTTTCATAGTAATTGAGAGTGAATAATGTGATTGTTTTAGTAGAATGCTAACATACTGAAATTTTCTTTCAAATGAAGACTCCAATTATTCCTGGTCTTTGTAATAAACTTCACACTTTAGAGAATTTGTGTGGATTGAATTAATTGTCAATTTGACATTTGTAGTTGTGTACGCAGGCTTATCAGTTTCTTTAAAAAATTTTGAGCTTTTTTAATTCAAGAAACCGTAAATGCCCTTCTTTTAGTCTTCTCAGGGATTTTGTTTATTCATATGTTTCTAAAATTTCTTTCAAAACTTCTGAAAAACGAGGAAACATTGCCATTTTGTCGACCACACAAAGCCACGGCACGCTAATGGCTGATAGTGTACAATGGCTCAGCCAATCAGATTACAGCATTTGCATTACCGGTTGTATACTAGTAGAATTCTACTAATGATACATAGAATTGACAGATTTGGTACTGAATGTTTTACATAATACTCCAGCATTTGTGAACTCTTTTCATAGTAAAACAAGTTTGATTTCTAACGATTTTTCGACTTAACAAGTTGTCGTGTTTCCATGGAAGATTTTATACTGATTTTCGGCTGTACAGATAGAAATTAGCTTTTTGCACAATTTTCGTCTCTATTAGTCCTGTTTAACATGAATGATGCTTTCATCATTGCAGTAGTTTCTTTTTTGTAACTTTTGATAAGCCTTACATGTATGGTGGTCAGCATCTGACTTCTTACCTTATCAGAACATCTTTAATCTCAGAGGTAAAACAAGCACATGTACCTAGAGAGAAAGGAGAAATCATTCAAAATGACTGTTCCAGAAAATATGTGTTGGCCATCCTAAATTAAAGTTTCAGTCACTAGTAAATCATTTTCCCTACTCAAGCTTTGGAGCTTGAAAATTATTTTAAAATTGGTACATCCACAATGCAAGATTTACCTGAAGTATAATCTCATAACTGGTGAATAAAAAAAGTATAAGATGTTTATGCAGTATAGTAATAGTGTCTCTAGCCTTTAGGTGTGCATATTAACTATGTACCTTTTAACTATATGTAATATGATTTGGTGTTTCTTTCAGGTTCAAGATAACATGACAGAGATTTTGTGGAGTCATCAGCAAGTGAAGGAAAGAAGAATGTAATAAAATGTTTTGAAGTAACTTAGCCCAGTGATAGCTTTCAGGAACGAAGAATAGTCCAGACGTAACTCGAGGCTACTAGTTTTAGTGACAAAAAATTGCATTTCAGTTTGGAAGTTTCAGTTAATGCTCTAAGAAATCTCTAAATTAATCAGTGTTGCCACAGTGTTTTTCACTCATAGTGAGTGAAGAAAAAAATCTTCCAAGTTCAGAGAAGGTCACAGAATTTTTTTTTCAGTCGGGGAAAATTGGCATTTGAAGAAAAGTCAGTGAAATTTGAAATCATAACACTGCTGATTTAATGCTATTAAAGCCTGGAAAGGACTTTTCAGGTCACTGTGATCTGAACGATGTTTTATCTTAATTAATGTAGGTGAATTTGTTGAAATTATATTAGTCTGGAGGGAGAAAAGGTGGCTGTTTGGGGGAGGCTAGAGACCGCTACTGTATCTGACATTTTGTAATTATCCAGTCAGGGAATTTTGAAAAGTGAACTCTGTGGTAACAGTGTTTAAAATCGTTAAAATCTTTGAAAAAACACTTAACAGTATTACAGAGTGCATTTGCCGCTAGTGGTAGTAGCCTCGAGTTGTGCTTTTGGTCAAGGTAAATTTCCAGTGAAATGTAATTTCCAAGTTACTTTTGAACTAGTCAGCTGTATTGAAAATACAATGCACAGTGTATATAAAGGAACCCAGGAAAATAAGTCCAGGAAGAAGCTAACTGAAGTCTTTTGGCAGTAACTTATTTGCGGTGTTATACTGACCTAGAGAAAAAGAGCTGAAGAAAAAGTCTTTTGGCGGGAAAATTTTCGCGCTTTTGAAAGGGGCCGAGAACAAATTCTGGAAAGAAAAACTAAGTCTTTTGGCTGGAAATTGTTTACTGTTTTAAAAGGTACTAAGAAAAAAGTCGAAGAAAAACCCGTTTTTTGGCGGGAAAATTGTCCTTAGGGAAAAAAGTCTGTGCTTTTGAATGGTGTCTGGTTTTGAGTCAAAAATATAGTAAGTCTTTTGGCGGGAAAAATCTTGCCTTGTGCAGCGGATTTGTCCCATCAAAAGTCAAAGTATATGTTTGTTTTCTGGCTAGACTCTGTTCAAAAGTGCAGAATTTTTTTTCTTTTTGGCAACCCTACATAGTCAAAAAATAGTAAAAGAGATAGCCTACATTCCGACTAGTTTCCAGGCCCCTTTTAAAAGCGCGAATTTTTTATTTATTTATTTGCTTATTCAATAAAGTCAAACAGACAATAGAGACAAGAGACAATTAAAGTTGTGAATACTTTATTGACTGCTTTGTTTCATTTACTTTTTACAACTAATTAAAGTTAACAGTAAACTTATTTACAACACTCAGCTAGGAAGACTATTTAAATTTTCCAAGTCTGAATATTGCAACAACAAGCATCCAAAAATTTTACATTTCACTATGAAATTCGGGACGAATTTGGTGCTAATTTTTTTGCAACTAAATTGTTAGACTGAAAAGCTGAATATTAAACCAAAAGCTGTGGTCAACTGATAAGGAAATTTGAAATCAAGTTTTCATAAATCAGCGCAGGATATTGTCAAGGATCAACTAGTTAACCGATGTAATATCAACAAACTTCGCGAACATTCTGCTATTTTGAACGAATGTAAAACATGGAGCGAAATACAACGTTTGAACGAGAATCGGTTGACAAACACTTTTTGTAAAATTCGGTGTCTGCAATATTCGCGTCTGTGGAGACTGAGTATGCCAGATATAAAATTTTAAGGCAATTACTCGACGTCAGAGTCCACACAAACATTGTATTTCACACCAAGTTTAGACCGAGCAAAATTGCGGAAAAGTGCGCCTAGACTACTGCAATGAAAACATCTAATCGGCGATGAACGCGGAAAATGTTACGCTAAACACGCTAAAATTGAAAATTTCATTCGACAGTCCTTGAAAAAGTACGGTTGACTTAAAGCAGGTTTCATGCTTTTGTTGCTGTAGTTTGATTTAATTTCCCGCGAGCGTACCAAGTCTCACCAGAGACCTTCGTTATTGTTTTGAAAACAATTAATCATATGTTCAATCTGCGTGTGAATTTACTAGCGATTGCTAGCGGTAAATTAAAATCCAAACGTAAGACAGTCATTAAACAATCTGCTACTATTTGCGTACCAAAACGTTGACCATTTTTCAAGTTTCTAGACAATTGAATAAAAGTTGTCGAAGAATAGCGAAGCTGGATTTATTAAAAAAAAAACCTGTGACCGGCGGCAAAACTGTATTTAATTACCTCTAGAATTAACCTCTTAATATAAAGTACGCCTTAGTTCTTCAAGAGATCTTGTCTGCCGTGTCCTGAATAGTGGTCCCATCATTCAGCGAGCAGTGTTATGACACTGGAAGAAAATACAAGCGTACGTGTTAGAAGACGCAAACAATGGACAGCAAAGCATTTACAGCTATATAAATCGTATAATTAAACAAACTTAATGGACCTAAAAAACAAATTATCAAATCACTGTCAAAGGGCTCATGCTCGAAGCGTCAGCTGCATTAACTCAATACGGCGGTTAATAAATAAATAAATTTCAAATTGATAAACAAGTGTTTCATAGAACAGATGTTGACAATGTTCAAAACTTTGTGTAGCTCGCGATCGCGTATCTTACTAACAGTTTACTAAAACTTTACTAACGGTTTACTAAAACTTAGTCGAGAAATCTTCAGATCTTCAATAATTCTCGGTGGCTTTCGGAATTTTACCAGGAGCGTTATAAAAATATTCGTCGATCATCGGAAATTGATCGCAAAAATGTCTCGGAAGACCTTCTGTTCCCGTCGGAAAATTATCGGAAATCGGCCGATCTTCGTCATAACTGCCAAGTTGGAATAATTACAAAAATACGGTTTCAATCGGAGATATCCGTGGGAACATTCTTATGTGAGAGGCTGGACTGCAAGTTTTTGTTGATTGGTGAGACATTTTATGTTTTTGAATAACATTGTTTACCTTAGTTTTCTTTAATCAATAAAATTACTTTCATTTTTTCAATTGTTTAATGGTTAGGCGAGGTGCATTCTTGGAACTCGGTTACTTAAAAATCTCTCCAATTCTAAAATAAAGTTCTCTTCAACAATACAACGTTTCCAACATATGTTTCCAAGGAGAGCGATCATTGTGGTTTTATCATTAGAGTGATCTGCTAGATGGGTATGGTAGCGCGAAAAAGAAAAAAAATTTCCGGAAACTTTTAAATTGACCTGTCTTTATATATTTATTGTTAGTTACTCGCCAAAAACTATTTTATTTGTCAAATAATAGCCCCCTTCTATCAAAATTATTATTCGTTTGGAAAATTTGCTTTTCAATTTATTCTGACTCCAGATAACACAATCCTTTTGATTAGTTTATTTTGTTTTATTCTTTTGATTTTTTGTTCAAAATAATAATTTGTTTGTTTTGTCGAATTTTGCGCCATTCTTCAGCACAAAAAGAAGCAGATTGAAATGAGATCTAGAGGTTTGAGATTGTTTGCCGCACCTCAAAAATCGTGCGTTAAGTCATTTGAATCAGAAATGAGTGAAAAACGTTAAGGTGGGTGTTGTAAACAACGATGACGTCACCTATTCTTATTAATGTACCAAATGGTAAACAAAGGTCTTCCCTATTCCTTTGGGAATTAATTTTTTGGAGTAAGAAACAGCAAAACCAACTGCGACTGGTAATAATCATGATAAACAGCGTAGTTGACGATAAATTGACCCTTGGACTGGGATAGTTTTGAACTCTCAATAGTAATCATGTTTCATTTGTGCAGGCAATTCCAAAATTTTGTAAAAATTTACCAACAACATTGGGTGTATTTGAACCGAATGAATGCCTTTGAATATGTTGAAATAATTTGCTACTCTGCCCACAGCTGCCTATTTTTTTTAGATCAAAGCAAGCAAAGCGTGAGCGCGTGCGCGCGTGCCGAAACGAACGAGTATCGGAGCGCGAGCGAGCTTGTCACTGACCGTTCAGTGACAAGCATTTTTGAAGAATTAATTTGTAGTAACTCTTCACTTTTATTTATGAAGCAGCTTTGTTGTGCAGTGATTTTAGAAAATAATTAAAATTGAAGAATTTTCAGGTTCACTTGACTATTTTGCACTTAGCTGATCACCAATTGGTATTTATAGCAGGGCTGACGTTTCGAGTTTTAGCTGATCCATGATCGCAAAAATTGAATTGATTTCGTTTTCAGGTATGAATACAATGGCATTTTATTAAGGCCGGGGTACACATGAATTTAAGTGAAATTTTAGGAAATTTAAAGAGGGATTAAAAGGATAAAAAGGGGTTTGGAACACNAATTTTGTAAAAATTTACCAACAACATTGGGTGTATTTGAACCGAATGAATGCCTTTGAATATGTTGAAATAATTTGCTACTCTGCCCACAGCTGCCTATTTTTTTTAGATCAAAGCAAGGAAAGCGTGAGCGCGTGCGCGCGTGTCGAAACGAACGAGTATCGGAGCGCGAGCGACCGTTTCGCGTTCGCGCTCGTTCAGTCCCTTGGGAGTTTTATTTCCTCGCCAAATCATTTTCCTCATTGATGTTTGGTGCTTTTCCTCGTGCACAAATCAATCTGGTATGAAAAATTGTACTGGAAGAAATTAAACCACCAAAAGTCCAGCTAGAAACCGTGCGCTAGGCCATTGACATAAAAGATAAGTTGACAACAGTGACAAGCATTTTTGAAGAATTAATTTGTAGTAACTCTTCACTTTTATTTATGAAGCAGCTTTGTTGTGCAGTGATTTTAGAAAATAATTAAAATTGAAGAATTTTCAGGTTCACTTGACTATTTTGCACTTAGCTGATCACCAATTGGTATTTATAGCAGGGCTGACGTTTCGAGTTTTAGCTGATCCATGATCGCAAAAATTGAATTGATTTCGTTTTCAGGTATGAATACAATGGCATTTTATTAAGGCCGGGGTACACATGAATTTAAGTGAAATTTTAGGAAATTTAAAGAGGGATTAAAAGGATAAAAAGGGGTTTGGAACACCACCAGACAGTTGATTGCCCCCAAAAGGGCACCCCGGGTTGGTGGGCAACTGTWTGGTGTACGTCTACCAATTTCTAACTTCAAATTCTAATTTTAAAACAACATCAAATCTTCAAAATTTCCTATTTCCATAAATTTTACTAATCCTTTGAGAAAAACTTTTTATCCCCAAATATACCCAAAAATCACCAAAAAATTTACAAAACAGCCCAAAACGTAGCTATGTGAAATGAGCAGAGAGATTTTTCACTAATACCCAGCAAAAATATGGCCTTCATGTTAACCCCCGCCTTATAAGACAAAAAAAACTGAGAGTAAATCTTGGTTTGCATATGATCGTTGTATGACAGTATGCCAAATTATTCTCAGTTTTTCTCACTCGCTTGCATAACTTTTCAATTCAATAGGCTAGGGTAGGGATTACCAGCGATCACATGAAAATCGGCCTGTGCGGTTTAACGAGTAAGCGTCCTGTGGCTTACCTTGGCGCCATTCTTTACGAGTACTTGGTTTTCTTGCCTTGACAACTGAGACGTTTCTTTGATGGCACTTTATGTAAAACAGGAAAATGCAATATTGGGATTAGCAATATAAAGTATCAAATGTATTATTATTTATCCTCTTACAATGACACGGAAAAACTCTGAACATCCGTTAAAGTTCGAGTATCGAGGTCGGATTAGAATATGGGAGTGTTTTTTTTTTTGTGGAGGGTGGAAAAACCAGACAGCCAAGAGAAGAACCCTCATTTATTTGTTGGACTAAGAAAAGGTTTTCCTGTGCAATGCATAAGCAGCTAGCACACGCCAGTCTAAATTGAAACTTCGAAAATTCAACGTTGCCGTTTACTTCAAATCGGTATATGAAAACAAGAATTTGTTTACAACGGCAGTAGATTTGCACATGTATGATAGTGAAAGAAATTATGAAGTTTCTCATCATCGATGCAAAGTAGCAATATAACTTATGACTGATGCGCAGTCATTGCACTGATACGCTTGCAGACTCAGAGGAGACTTTTCGTTGATTTTCATCCAACTAATACCAGAAAAGTAAACTTAATCTTTTGATCCATTCAAATTTTGTGTGGGCATTATTTTTGAAAATTCGAAATTCTTCCCTAATTCCAGTATTCGATCGTAAGAACTGTGAATGGTTTAAATGACGGACAAAACATCGTTAAAACTGACAACCAACTTATAAGTGCACAAGTTTTTCCTAGCGAAATCTCTAATCAAGTCCACGT